GGTGTGTTTGATACAAGAGCCAAAGGTTATTCCACAGAAGAGCTGTGGTTTACCGAACATGATATAGGCGGGTACACTCCATGGGAGAATCCTGCAGCTTATGAACGCTATAATCCACTTAAGCATGTTGCGAATTGGACCCAGCCAATGCTAATTATTCTTGGTGCTCATGATTATCGTGTGCCAGATACACAAGGAATAAGTGCTTTTAATGCTTTGCAACGTCGTGGCATTGAAAGTCGCTTAGTCTATTTTCCAACCGAAAATCATTGGATAGTGAACCCACTTAATTCAATTGCCTGGTACGAACAAGTGCAAGGTTGGATGCACAAATGGACAAATTAGATCAATCCTAAAGCATTTTAATGAATAATATAGTCGATTCAATGTTAGAAACTTCTTTTCTTTTGACACTATGTTTTATTTCTTTTTGAACAGTATCCAGAAAAACTAATGATCAACTTACATGTGGTAACGAATTTAACGTCTGAAATAATAAATGACTATTGCAAATAAATAGTAGATGACGGATAATTTCAATGGGTGCGCTGCCCTTTTGCTGTGTCAGATCGAAAGATCACACCTCTTTCCGTTTCATTGGAATCAATTCGATCGAGATAAATTAAAGAAACTTGCTTCGCATGCACACAGGAAAAACATGTCATTTCATTTAATTCATCTTTGCATTCAATTCATAGTTATGAAACTTAAGATATGCCCCAACATACCAGTAACTCGGTCGGGTTGGGCAGTCAGTCATCGCAACCATTTGTCGGCAATAACTTCTCAATCCTAGCCCTTTTATCTGAAAGATTTTTGTTCGATTATTCAGGCAACAGTACTGTAATTTGTTTTTTATATAATAGTAATCTGTTTCACACGTTGTATTCGCTCATTTATAGCCATCAAATTGTTGAGCTCGTATTTCTCTTGCGTGACCTTCAGACTTTCTTGGTACTCAGTTTTGAGTATTAGAGAATTATTCTGTAAAATTAGATCGAACATACGATTTAATTGAGTGCCACCAATGTAATTCTTCTCACAGACCATTCAATCAATATTGGCCAAGAATGGACCATCACTCGGATGGCTACCAGTATGTATGAGACAATGAGCGGAGCGTGCGCTTACATGAAGTTCATGAACCTAAATCGCCGACTCTTTGGATTGATGGTTCGATCGAGGATGTGGGTGGGTGTGCATATAGTCCTTCTTTCACACTCACACACCTACACCCTATAGCAGTTTTGCAGTGTGCGCACTTTGCTATTTTATCGCAACACATATATCATGCAGAAAGACATAAAGACATGTTTTAAGTTTAGATTGAAACAGACTAGAGCGAAAGGTTTTGCTTTTATCAACATTTCGGATAACAAGAGTATTCCATGAAGAAGTGTTACATATTACAAGGAGAGAGAATAAATCAACTATTATGGCCTTTGTCATAAAAGTATCAATAATTAAGTAGAAAAACCAATACTCTAATACTTCTATACATATAAGACAACAATCCATACATGTACAGTTGAGGAATCATAAATGTGAAGTGAATAGTTTATAAATGATGAGTTTGTTTTATTAGAACAGCTGTCACAGAAAGGATACCAGTTCAATTTGTGATTTAAGCAAACCACATGTTAAACTATCAGTCATCTTACAATCTATTACATTTATTTTTATTTAAAACAACTATCATATTCTTGACTAATGAATAACTCAATCATTACACAAAACAAAGAATAAAAAAAAACCTTGTATTATTATTATTATTACAAAAACAAGTCACTCACAGAAAAGATTTGTATGAACAAAATATGAGACTAAACAGTATTATTACTAATCACTCTGTCTGATGTCATTATTGAATTTACTATAATATAATCAAATTTTAGAAGTAATATTCAGATATATCATCTTCTGCCATAATATTAAAAACAAACTTCGCTATTTGTAACCTATATCATTTGATCTTTCTGTGTTGTGGTCTTTGAAACAGCTTTGTATGGATGAAATCATTATTTTGAATCGAAAAAGTCATACTGATGAAAATCGATCGAACTTCTCATTGTGAAAAACTAACTAGGAAGATGAGATGACCATAGTCGACGAACAATACTCACTTACTCTACCATTTCATGTAAACATCTTAACAGAAAAATATTGATGCAGAAGAAGTCATGATTATGAAATGATAGAGCTTCGAATAGAGCAATTTATCAAGTGGCATACAGAGTAAGAATGTGGATGTGAAAGGGAATTAGCATTCGTCTTCTATACACCCACATCGACACACTCAGACTTCAAGAACATGTGTTCCTCAAAAGAGGATTTAAAATGTGTCTTACATTGTAAAAGAGAACCATTCGTGTTTATTAACAATTTCAAAATCTATAGCAAGAAAAGTTAGTCAGATTTATATAGTTCATTGTTTACACCTCGTTCATATTAATCATGTTGTTTATAGGTTTTCAAGACTGTACCAACTTGATTGATATAATAGTTCAATAAATTTGCCACTAGATATAGTAAACAAATACATGATAGTTTACTTATAATTTCATTTCTGAAGAAATCTAGCTTACTCTCAATCTCCCATCTTCACCAGCTGTTATTCCTCCTCGTTCTAGACGTATTTTTTGATTAGTTTTCATTTCTTGGTGTCTCAGTTTTTCTGCATTAGCATCACCTAGAAAGGAAATATGCCACAAAAAGAAAAAAAAACAACATAAATTAAAGTTTTCATAATCTCCAATTAATTTTGTCAGTGAAGACAAAAAATAGAAGCTCTATTGCTTACGTATTACAGTTCCATTCCGTTGCGATCTTTGTACATATCTCTCGTCAATAGGAGTAATTCGAGAAGAGTCATGTAGCTGAAAACAAATGTACAAACGATTAATTCAAGAATAAGATGGATCTACGTAATTAAACATATAATAAAAAATGAAAATTTTCTCTTCTGAGTCAAAAATCGAAACGATCCGTATTTCAAATTGTCTCTGTTTATCTAAATTATGGAACTGTTCAACGTTAATATTTACTTCATGATCAGATATCATGTCTACCGACTTCGTTGCTGTTGTAGATCTAAAAAAAAACATCAACAAATGATTCATTTACTCTACAACGAGCAAATCAACTAATGAAGCAATGTTATTAGAAAGAGAGAATCTTTTTAGAGTGAATTTCTATTGCTCAACTTTTAACTTACTTGTTAATATTTGCTTGTTCTTGTGTTACTTTGGGAAATACTTGTGAACATTCAGCATTTCGACCATTCAGTAAGCGATTTCCGGAGACATAATCACGACTTGAATATCTCTTAGAATCTTAAATTATTACAACAAAACTACTTGTTAAATTTTCTTTCTCGTATGTTTACCGTCGACATTGGATAGCAATCTCAACTCGTGTGAATTCAAATTACTCGCAAATGGTTCACTCAGTGTCAATTGTTGTGCAGATCTCTCATTAACCGTAGTAAACCGATGAGAGTCGTGTAGCTGAAAAACAAATGTGTAAATTGTTACTTCTTTAAATAAGACGTATGTATTTAAAAATGAAACTAAAAATTTCATCTTGAGTCCCTATGTCAAGAATCGAAATAATTCATACTTCAGAGTATCTCTGTTTATCTGAGTTGTTTAATTGTTCACTGTCAACATTGGTTTTATGATGAGGTCTTAGGCCTTCCACCGTTGTTGTAGATCTAAAAACATATCAACAATGAATTCTTTTACGTTACAACGAATAAGTCAAATGATAAAGCAATGTTATTTTAGAAAGAGAATATTCTTAGAGTCGACTTTGGACCTACCTGTTAACATGTGGTTGTTCTGGTCTTACTTCGGGAAATACTTGTGAACGTTCAGCACTTCGACCATTCAGTAAGTGATCTGCGGAGAGATTGTCACGATTTCGATACCTCTCAAAATCTGAAATTATCATAAAGAAACTAGTTGTTCAATATCGTTTCTTGTATATTTACTATCGACATTAGATGGCACTATGGATTCTTGCTCATTGCTATTGCTTGCAACTAATTCATTCCGTGAGTTTCCGTCTGAATTGTGAATGTGATTATGAAAATCAATTTCGCTGTGGTGATCTGTAGCAGGTACAAGAAAACCGTTCGATGTTGTGGCTTTATATAGTAATATCATTTGAAAAGAAAAGGAAATAAATGAGAAATCAAAATGAAGATGTATAAAGTGAGCAACACACATAAAATACTTTCGTTTGTCGAGATACGTAAATCAGATTGATCTTCGTGTGAAACAGTTCTTTTGTTTGGTCTGAAAGAGAGACAAGAGATTAACAACTTGTATTTTCATAGTATTCAAAGTGACATAAATCTTTTTCAACTTACATTCCGTCGATAAGCCTTGCACGTCCAACATGCAATTTAATCTTTTTGCTTTCTTTACATGCTAACTTTATGTATTTTTTTGCCATTTGATGCGTAACAAATCGTAAATCGTAAGTGTTACGCTGATAAATAGAAGTATTAGAAAGACAATATGACACATAAAACTAATAGAACATCATTTATCTTACTCCTGATGAAATTTCTAATAATCGATCACCTTTATGTAAATTTTGATTAGCTTGAGGCTTTTTAATATTTGTAATAAATATTCCATGATCGCTTCAATGGAGAAATAGTAAAAGATTTTAAGTGAAGACAAATAAAGATGTCATTAGTATTTACTTTTGAAAATGTTCGCTTCCAATTCCACCTGTAATGGATATGCCTAATTTTCCATTATGTTCTATTTCAATATTTTCGCAAACCGATGGCGAGAGACGACGTATCAGCTGAATAGGATGATAAAAGAAAAGAAATATTAATGAAAGATCTTATACATTCATCGATTCGTTCTCACCAAGCGTACTGTTGGTCCTGATGTTTTCAAGACATTAATAGCTTCGTGATGCTTAATATTTGTAAAATCAATATTATTGACACGCAATATTATGTCATATAATCTAAATTGATCGATTATTGATTAAAACAAAAAGTTGACAGAGAGTAAAATTACTTACTTTAATCCTTCATCTGTATGTGCGATACTATTTTTGCTTATATTTATAACAATAATAGATGTAAACCTAGGATGAACAAAAGGTATATCAATACCACCAGCAATAGTAAATCCTAATGATGTATCTTCGCTCGTTGGCTTTGAATAAATGAAGTAAAATAAGGTTAGAATAAACACATGAATGAAATTTTACAAACCCTTTCTAGAATAATATCTCGTTCTTGCCAATGTTGTTTATAATTGAATTGCATAATACTAGACATGACAAGTAATCAGAATCGTCGTTTTTTTTTTTGG